TCTACATTTGTATTACTTCAATTTGAAAAGCATCATCCAGCAATGTGTTCTATCACCTAATGACATCAGGAAGGTAAAAGGCTGCTCAGGTTCAGCATAGTGTTCCTTTCCTCCCCATGACAGCGTTCTTACTGTTGGAAAAAGAGCAAGGAACAGATGCTAGGAGCAAAATTTGCACAATTTGGATCAGGATAATATTTCTCATAGGTCCTGCCTCAAGGCCGTAAAAAAAAAAGACCGTTAAGATATATTTAGCAATATAGTTTTTAGATTTGAAAATACTTTGATTTATGGTATGATTCACAAAATGTTTAATTGTGAAATTACACGGATCTATTTTTTCCCCATATTTGAATGATTTCAAAATCATTTGTTTGATTGCTTTATCTAAGTACAGGACAGGAAACCACGTGCTTTATAATGATCCAATTCAGGATACTGAAAGCTTCGCTGATGGATGCAGTTTATTGGCTGCTCTAACAGTACACAGAAAATACTTCCCCAAGTACTGTTTGAATGTGCAGTCTCGTAGCCCATACACAATAGGACTGACCAACCTGGGCAGAATCTGGATCAATATGTACAAAACAAAAAGGATCTGGACAGAATATGCAGGAGCCAGGAACAAAAAAATCTTTTGTGCCAAAGGAGCTACATATGTTAGCATACACAAAAGCAGCTGAACTCCATGAAGCAGGATGGTATTTCTGGCACTTTTTGCTTTTCCTTTGGCTGAGTTAGCAGCTTGAGCAACAAAAAATATCCTGAAGTAGGTAAAGAAAAGGGTGAACCAAACTCCAGTTAAAAAAATGATATGAGAAACATCCCTTTTTTGTATATTTATTGGGCGTCGGAACAGGTTGTCTCTTTGGCAAAATATTGTGGCGTGAAATAACCATAGAGGCTCTGTTGCAAGGATAATAAATATGTCTGGTAAAATCGATGCTGCGCTCAAAACCCAAATACAACCTATGAGAAAATACGTTCGTTTTATGGTGCAGAGTTCAGCATGTTGCAACGGGAAACAAACAGCAATGTAGCACTCCACCGCCATCAGGGCTAAATTTAAAGGAGTATTGACAGTGGTGAAAACAGCAAAGGTTACGATAAAGCAACAGAAGGAGGCGTTGATTTTGTAGAAGACGTAACTAATGACAAATAGGCTGATTGATGCAGTCAACTGGATCATATCATTTACCACCAGATGGATGAAAAGGATGTAACGAGGATTCATGTAAAATATCTGGAAGAGAAGGAAAGTTTATTTTTAGTTCTTTTCATTCATAATGCTGGGTTTTATTCAAACATTTTGACAGGAACAACTCATAGTGAAGGATGACAAAAACTGACTTGGTGTTTTCTGAAGGTGTGAATCAGTGTTCCATTGATATAGTTGATGGAAATGCCCAGAGCCATAATGAGCACATTCTTTGCCACAGCAGTGCCTGGAGAATCTCTGTAAGTCAGGGCCCTGGACATGTTGAAGTTCAAAGATGAGGAATTCATCTGGGAGCTCAAATATTCTTGTTTATTAAAACAGAAAATTCTGTTAAAAAACAAAATCAATTTAATAGGGTTAAATTTGTATTGCATACTGAAACATTTAGTGTTTAAATAAAAGATTTGGTGTCTGTCTCGTGTGTTACACAAAACATGCTGTATGTTTTCTATTGTATTTTTAAACATTTTCAGTATTTTGTGTATTTGACCTGTGTTCTAAGACTTTAAAAACAGATTGAACTCTGAACCAGATTATCTTGATAAATATTCCCTAGAGCAGATGTGAACCCCATGCTTCACTCTGTCAATGACCTTCCTGTTGCAAACGAGTAACCATGTTGAGAAGCATATGGTAGTTGTATAAAAATGTCATTGTAACATTTGATTTGTTATTGTCTCAGAGATAAAATGTATGTTATTTTTATTTATTTATTTTGGCCTAAGGTGTTGGATATCCAGCAGATATCTACAGTATAAGCCTTAAAGGGCTCAGCCCATATTGCTGTGATATTGATGTGATATTTGTGAATATTTATGAAATGGTCATCTTTAAAGCAAGCTTTTTCAATAGCACTAAATTCCTTTCTCAGGAGTTTCTTTCTCCAAATTTGCTGTTTATGATGGATCAAAAGGACAGTGAAGTAAGCTTTCCATTGTCGGCTTGCATAAAGGGGTTTTTACTACTTTTAATGTACATAGACTACCTAAAGTAAGCTCAAACTCAAGTTTACAATTACCTGACAAGATCAAAACCAATCTTTATTACTTTTAATGAAGGTAAGAGAGAAGAACTGTTTTAATTCAAACAAATTTTGACTATTTGATTTCTGCTATTCCACAACTAAGAATGAACTAAACTAGATCATGTTATCATAATTATACCAAAATGAATAAACAAAAATAATAACTTTTTTGGAACAGAAACATAAAAATTGTACCTGCCAAGTTTAATCTGAAATAATATTTTTCTTTTGCTCAAGAAAATATCCTACTGAATTTATGTATAAATTATTTTATAGATGTTTTTTGGGAGTAAAATATACAAATATATACATAAAAAAGGCTGGTGATACTTGCTGAACAACAGAAAATGTACAAAGGATTTGAGAACAGTAATGGACATATTTTAAGATAGTAGAGTCAGGAAAGGATTTTACCTGAATGTTTTTTTTATTAACTTCACAGAAGTTTTCCTTTCTCTGTTGCTTTTTAATATCATCTGCTGCACAACTTAGCCTTTAAAATATTATTTATGTTATTTAATCTTGTCTAGCATAAACCTCCCTCTGTCTATGTTTTTACACAAGCCAACTCTTTTGCTACTCATATTCTTTTTATCTGTCTCTGTCAAACAAGCATAGAAAGATTTGAAACGTGTATTGGGGAGAACATAGAAAAATGCAGGCTGACTGATATTATTATTGAATAAATCAGACATTGGACTTGTCTAAGGTTTCACAAGCTGTATTTACAACAACCACATTTTGTTAATTGAGATATATTTGGGGAACTTAATACTCCGTTGTGGTGACATGTCTGCCCTCCTGTCATAGAGTGACAGCTATCAGTGCCCCTAATTTATTTACCGTACCTTTGTAAGTTTTTTAAAATCAACGTTTTCATTTAACTATCCATGTCTGTAGATGAACAGCCTGTGAAGCCAGTCTACCCTAGGAAATAATTTGTAAGCAGTTTTTTTTATGAAAACCCAGCTTTCAGTAAAATTAAGACAAATGACCTTAAACACTTGGCATCTTTTTGTGTTTTAGTCAAGACAATAAAGAGGTAAAAGTTAGAACCTAAAGCATTTTAATACACCACATAAATAATCAGTATATAAAATGGAGCTGAATTTGTGAATTCCTTGAGATAATCAAAGTTTGAGTTTGAAAGAAAGAACTCTTAGCTAATTGTTACCTATATGTATATTACTATGTTCATCATTTTTCATTAATAAGGCTAATTATAGAAAATGGGAAAGCTGAAACGTCATACTACGGATAAAAAGTACAAAAGATTTCCTACCTCAGATGTATCACTGTTGGATCTATTTGTCCAGTCAAAAGCTATGAGGGAAGGTTTCTGATTTTATATGAAGGTTAAGTTCTGCAGAAATCTGATAGAAGTATGTTTTTCTCCTGGGTATCAATTAGTTGTCTGATGTAATCAAATCAGAAATAGGTAAACTTTTTAAACTAACTTTGTTATTGAATCATGCTAAATATTAAATACTATTTAATATTTAGCATGATNAATAGTGGTTTCGGCCAATACTGGGTAGGTTATTCCAGCCGGACCTGGCCAGCCGCGCGGGTTTGCTGCATTCATATGCTAATTAGGGCCATTAGTACAGCTGATCGCTCTGCACATACGTCATGGTCCGTTTCCGACAATTTGTGGCACGACAAACGCGGACAAGCACGGGTTGCAAATTGTCGGAAACTGACGAAAATCAGGGAGATCTGCGGGAGTTTACGGGGACGAAAATCTCACTTTTCATGCAGTGTATGCGCCAGAAACAAAACCTCACATCAACCGCCCTCTGGCCTGTTGAATCCTCTTCCTGTTCCAACTCGTCCCTGGTCTCACATCGCCATCGATTTTGTCACTGGTCTCCCTATCTCCAGAGGTATTTCAACAATTTTTACCATTGTCGACCGATTTTCGAAGTCATTTCATCTGATTCCTCTCAGGAAACTTCCCACGGCCTTTCAGACTGCACAGCTCCTAGTGAAGCATGTTTTCCGGCTCCATGGAATACCCCAGGAAATACTCTCCGACCGTGGACCACAGTTTATCTCCCAAGTCTGGAAGGCTTTCTGTGCTGCTCTGAATTGTAAGTCATCACTTACTTCTGGTTATCATTCACAGTCCAATGGTCAGACAGAGAGAATGAACCAACAGCTCGAATCGACTCTCCGCTGTCTGACCTCCAACAATCCCACTGACTGGAGTCAATATCTCACGTGGATCGAATACGCCCACAACTCCCTCAAGTCTGCCTCCACCGGTCAATCTCTATTTCAGGTTAGTCTCGGATATCAGCCTCCTCTTTTTCCAGCAGACGAGAGAGAGATTTTGGTCCAATCTGTCAATCACCACATCCGTCGCTGTCAACGTGTCTGGAGGGACACCATCGCCGCCCTCAACCGCTCTTCTGAGTCTTCTAAGCGCTTTGCGGACTCCAAGAGACGCCCTGCCCCAGAGTATGTCATTGGTCAGGAGGTATGGCTTTCCACTCGGGACATTCCCCTCAAGGGAATGTCTCGTAAGTTGTTTTCCAGATTCATTGGCCCCTACAAGATTGCCCAGGTTATAAACCCCTCTGCCGTATGCCTGCACCTTCCTTCGAGTCTCCGCATCCATCCCACGTTCCATGTCTCCCAGATAGTGAGCCAAACCTGAAGACTCTTCTCTGGATTCCCCTGCAGCTCTTGGCTAAGAGCTGGAA